AAAAAAAAAAAAAAAAAAAAAAGTCACCTGCAGATTCTATTCTTACTTACGCAGTAGACGCTTTATTATCTTAATATACTAACCAGACAGGAGTCCGCTTATTTGAGTATGTACTCTGTGTTTTAGTTATGCCATGCAATTTGCATATGCAGATTAACTCTGGTGTTACCACCAGTGGTCCATCAACCTGAATTTCCCCTCTGGGTTCTGCAAGCAGGCAGGATGTAGTTATCAGAGAAGTCAGAACTGTTTAACTTTTATGGCTGTCAAAATAGTATAAATAATGGTAAAGGTTAACTTTTTCAGCAACAAATAATCTTTTCCCCTGGGAAATGAAGTATGCTCACGCTTAATCCAAGCCTTGCAAATATTAAAAAAAAAAAAAAAAAAAAAAAGAGGAATGGTTAATCTAACATAGCAAAAAAAAAAAAAATGCATATAGATATCCATAAGGAACAAGCCTTTATGCCTTATTTTTATTTTATTACCTTCCCTTCTCTTGTCAATTTTTTCCCCAGGCCCAGATTATATCAAACAGAGATTTCAGGAAGGTGTAGATGCTAAAGAAAACCCAGAAGAAAAAGTACCAGAAAAGCCGCCTACACCAAAGGAATCTCCTCATTTTTATCGCAAAGGCACGACCCCCCCTAGATCTCCTGAAGCAAGTCCCAAACAAAGCCATTCTCCCCAGCCCTCCTCCCCGAAACCCACGAAGAAGCAGAACCCCAGCTCAGGGGCGAGACTCAACCAAGACAAACGGAGTGTGGCTGATGAGCAGGTGACGGCCATCGTCAATAAGCCTTTGATGTCAAAGCCTCCCACGAAGGAGGTGGGAGCCATGGTGCCCCTTTCCAAGTACTCTGGCCGCCACCACATCCCTAACCCCAGTAACGGGGAGCTGCATTCTCAGTACCACGGCTACTACGTGAAACTGAACGCCCCCCAGCACCCCCCGGAAGACATGGAGGAAGATGAAGGATCGAGCCAGTCTTCCTCAGTGCTGGTGCACAAGCCAACACCCAACAAGTGGAGTCCCCCTAAATCTGTGACAAAACCATTTGCCAAAGAAAGCAAAGCTGAGCCAAAAGCTAAGAAGTCTGAACTTGCTATACCAAAGAATCCAGCAAGCAACGATTCATGCCCTTCTTTGGAAAAAGAAGCCAATTCGGTAAGTTGTGCAAGATGTGATTTGTCGTTCTTTTGGTTCTTTGAGGTAGCAGCGTAGGGTGACTTGCATCTTGATGACAGCTCGGCTAGTGAAAAGTCATGATGAGTGAACACAGGCCTGGGTAGCGTAGAGCTTGGCATCTTTGTAGCCTAAGGCAGCAAAGAGCTCTAGGGGCAGAAATTGCTCCCCGCTCGCTCAGCCACCCACCTTAGCCATCGTTCAGGTAGCTGGCCCATTAGTGCATCACATGTTAGCAAGCCTTTACCCCACTTCTGGGTACGTTTTGTGGTCGCTTTGTTTGAGCTGCTGTAACCAAAATGCCATAAACTGAGTGGTTTAAACAATCTTTATTTCTTATAATTCTGGAGGCCGGGGAGTCCCAAGATCTAGGTGCCACAGTCTTGGTGTCTGGTGAGAACCCAATTCCTGGTCCATAGACCATCTTGCTGTATGTACCCTCACATGGCTGAGAGAGAGGAATAGAGTGCTCTCTCATGTCTCCTCTTGTGAGGGCCCACCTCCCAAAGGGCCTTCCTCCAAATACCACCACATTGGGAATTAGGGTTTCAGCCTACAAAGTTTGGAGGAACACAAACACATAGTCCCTAACTGTAGCTACCTCTCTGATTGGCTAGAAAGGAATCATGGGACCCTGACCAGGGCCAGCACCTCTTGGAGTCCTAGCTGGAAAGAGGCTTCTGCTACCATTCACTAGGTTCTTCGCCCTGCTTTTGACCCTCACAAAAGGAAATGGATGGAAAACAAGACCTATCTGTATCTATATCTGTACAAGAGACTCATTTCAGACCTAAAGAGATAGACTAAAAGTGAAGGAGTAGAAAAGATATTCCAGTCAGCATCTTTAGACAAAAGAACATCTTTTCTAGCTATTGCAGATTATTCTCCTAAATCCTTAGTTTGGATTTGACTCAACTAGCCAGGCTTTGCAACTAGAACATTTTCAATTATTTAAGGAAATTGCTTTGGGAGACTTCAGTTTTCTGGTAAATGGTAGTTTTTGGAGCATTTAAGTTTTTTAATTCTTTGACCAGAAAGCTAGATATTATTTATAAGTGTCATTTGATGAGCATGTAGAGATTTACTTGTTGAATGATGTATGGAATTCATACTTTTATCAAATTCTCTACAGTTTATAAAATGTTGAAGCTGACTAACTGATCTGTTGACCTAGTCACATGGTTTTTGGAACAGAGGTGTTGCTTGTTAAATGTAGCTCAGGGAAGAAACCACAGCTGACCCAATACTTACTAGTAATTTCTGAGACCTTTCTGTAAATGTGCAGATTAATAAGTTGGGCAACAAGAATAGAGTATGACTAAGTTTTGTAACAAGGTTATTAAACTGTTTACAGTTAAACAGTAACAGTGTTAAAAAATTGAAATTCATCTTTTTTATTAACTTACATTTGATGCTTCTTGGGTTTATTTTGCTAATATTTACAAAGACTAGTTCTCATCTTTGTAATAATCTCAATATAAATCAGATTAACTACGTTAACTTCCTGAGAGTCAGCCTCCATGGGGATAAATGGTTTTCACAACAGACTATCTCTGTTAGTTAGTTTGCCAGACTTACAAGAGTGAAATTCAAACAATTCAAGGTCCTCCTGTGTCCACCTTGGGGTACCCAGTGGTGGGGCTCAGGAGCCCTTCAGAACTCTGTAAGAGGAAGCAAATATCCCAGTGTCCTGTACACCTTCTTTAAAATGTTACAAGTATTTGATAAATTCACGGCCTCCTTGTTCAGAAAAAGCATCTTTTTTTACTTAAGTGCAGAGCCATCTGATTCTTGGAGGTAGCCGGGCACTCTCCAGCTGGGTAGATCGGTCTCTGCGGTCCCTTCCCCACCTTGAGGTAGATGAGGCCTCGAGCTCTGTGCACGACAGGAACCAGAGGTCAAGATTACCTTGGCACCTCCGTGTGAAGATTTTAACAATTAACCTTCTTTTCCAGGATAACAACAGGGAGTGTGTGTGCCTTTCACACTCCCAGTAACTGTTTTCCTGACAGTTAAGAAGTGATAAAATCATCGTAAAGGTAGTTAATGAACCACCTTTAGAACAAAGGAGTAGTGCATACAGTTTTGACGTAGACGCTGCGTGAGTTAGAGGTTTACAGATAACTTGAAAGCTCATAGGAGTGTTCACAATAAAGCATACCCTGGAGGGAAAATCAGACTGAAGCGGTGTTCCTTGTGGGCAGCCGAGAGATCTGATTTGAGTCAGAATCGCCATTTTTAGGGTGGTCGGATACACTGGAATCTGGACTCTTAGTCGCCCCCATGTTGACTGAGACAGTACATGCTGGTGGCTAAGGGTTTGGACTCTGGTGCCAGACTTTCTCGAAGTTCAAATCCCAGTTGTGTTGTTTCTCAGCCTAGGGGACCTGGGGCAGGTTTCCTACCTGTGCTGTGAGTTGCTCATCTCTACCGGTGTCATAGGGTCGCTGTGGAGATTGAGTTAGTGCTTACACAGTTCTTAGCGCAGCACCCAGCACAGGGTTAGGTGCTCCCAAAGCAATGGCTGTTGTTTCAACAGGGTGGTAGTTAAAGCATAAATTAGTTCACAAATAGTCCAGTACGTTTGGACCCATCCTCAGGATCGCCCTGGATATTGATCTTGTAGAAATAGAGAAGCTCTCCTGGGTCACAGGCTAACACTTAGCAAGTAAGAGAAGGGAGTTGATGCCAAGGGATTACTCTAGCCCCCCTGCTCAGGAAACATGTGATTCGTAGGGGCCACGGCTGCACCTAGTTAATGTTCCAGGGAAACCCGTTCTATGTGGTACCAGCATTTTGTAGGATTTTGCAACATTGACAACCTATAGGAGCCAGGAGAGACGACGGGACAGCCTTATCAAAGAGACTAGCAAGTGCTCTTCTGTGTAGGAACCTCGACTCCTTCTGAGAACTGCCTGCACGTTTTCTTAGCCTTTACTCTCTTCCCAGTCTATTCTGAAATTTACCTAATCTCTCTTTTGAATTGTTCTAAAACTTTAAGGCATGCCTGTCCCATCAGTTTTGAACCATGTTACACATACACACTGAAACCCTAAAAACAGTAAATACGTATAAACTTGGCTATTAATACTAAATTGGGTGCTTTCCACGCTTTTAGAGAAGTTTTAGATTTAAACTGTAGTAGCTCGTCAGAAGATTCCTCACAGTTTTAAAGGAGTAATAATCTTTTGAAGGAAAAATAGTAAATTTCTGGAGCTAGAACTCCCTTCCACATTTTGACGTCCTACACTTTCTTTTCTAACTGCCTGAAAGTTCTTCCAGTCAAGACTTGCACTTTGCCTGCTACAGCTTCTTCTATGACACCTGTCTCAGTCAGTCTTGAAAAGCAAGACTGATTTTTTTTTTCATTTTGCTATTTTAAGCTGCCACTGGCCACCATGGTCATGTTTATGAGACTTCACCTTAAGCTTTCCACCCCATGCCTGGACTAGGTGTCTAAAGAGCACAGGGGTCACGGCTCGATACCTGCCTATTAAACATAGCATCCCAGAATTTGTTTCCCACCTGGTTGCTGTTTGAGCTTTTTATACCCTCCTCTTCACTGGGTCATCTTTAAAAATGGCTTCATAAATGGAGTTGTCCTAGTTGGATAAATAAATAAGTGTTCAATATATATGAATACATATCCATCTAAAAATGCTAACCAACTCAAGGGGCACCTGGGTGGCTTAGTCGGTTAAGCGTCCGACTTTCGCTTAGGTCATGATCTCGCGGTTTGTGGGTTCGAGCCCCGCGTCGGGCTCTGTGCTGACTGCCAGCTCAGAGCCTGGAGCCTGTTTCAGTCTGNCCAGCTCAGAGCCTGGAGCCTGTTTCAGTCTGTGACTCCTTCTCTCTCTGACCCTCCCCTGCTCACGCTGTCTCTCTCTCTCCTAGAAATAAAAAAAAAAAAAAAAAATGCTAACCAACTCAAAAAGATAAATTCATGGAACTTGGAAGGATTTATGAAATGGGAAGTAAAAATCCAGACACACCTTAAACTCTTGAAGTTAGATTTACCAAAGGCACTTTGTCTGTTAGTCTACTTTTCCTTGGTTCACTGTAAGACACTGAACTCTACGTTATGTTGTTCTGACCCCATATACTTTTCCTCACCGTTTATATCACTGTCTTTGGGAATTATAAATTAAATCCACTGACCCAGAAGAGTTAAGTGAATCCAAATTCCTTAACATATTCATGAGCAAAATCTAATCAAAGTTTGTGATAGTAATAGCAGATCCTTAATCTCCATGCTGAGTTATAATATTGAAAGATTATTTCAATTATTTTCTGAGTTATAAGTGTTTCTTACATTATACATTTTAGGTTAATCATAATTGATGAGTTACATAGGTTAGGACCCTCCTACTAACTTAGAATACAACTATTCTAAAAGAACAATTGGTCCTATCAAGATTTGATGTTTTTCTACTACCATGAAATCATAGGGTATAGATGAAAGTGCCATTTTTAAGAGCTTGATTAGAAATTAATTATTTTTAAATTAAGTCCTGTGGCTATAATAGGGACTTATGGGGGGTGGGGAAGCTCTGAAGTAGAAGAAGTTTAATTTTAGTCCTGTAATTTGTTTAAACTGGATGAGTAACCTTGGGCAAGACACTTACCCTCTCAGAGCTCTGTGGGATGAGACTTCTCATCATCTGTGCAGAAGAAATAGTCTACCCAGAACCACTCATCCCCCTGCGTGGCATATAAAGACATGCAGTAAATGTTGCTTTTTCCTCCCATTTACATGGGGTTTAGGAACTAGGGTTTTTCTTCTTCCTCATAGTCCCTATTTCAACCCGTTTTTACTTCCTTTTCTCCCCCACTCTGCTTTTACTAATCACCTTGTTCATCGTTTAAGATGATGAATTCATAAGGTCAACAACCACATCCACAGTGCCTGGAACAGTACCAGATGATACTAGGTGTCCATAATGGAACCCTGAAGGAACTGGGCAGTCCATATGTGCGGGGGCACACAGTGGTGGACAAAGCAGGGCCCCTGCCACAGCGGGACTCAGTCTACGACAAAGAGATTAACAAGAAGTAACAAAGTATGAAGTGTTAGGATAGACACTCTGACTAGGACACTCTGATCTCTACCGGGGAGGTTGTGGCCCCATCTGGGGAGGAAACCTCCTATAAGGGTATATGACTCCCACTCTAGACCTTGTGACATGAGCAGTGGACCAATGACAGTTCCAGTCTTCCTCAGTAGCCCTCACCAGAAGTCACACAACTGTTTCCTTGTCTGTAAAGTAAGAATTAAAATACCTACCCCACCCACCTAAAGCCAGTTTAGAACACATTTAATACTACTTAAGAATTAGACACTAGTTTAATAGTAAATACCATGATCATGTCCCTGTAGTAAAAATGGCCAAGCATGAGAAGTTCTGGAAAGATAGGTCATAAGGTTGCTTTTTGTTTAAACAAGTAAACGAAGTTTGGGTACCGTGGCTAGCTGATATTCATTATAGCCGTATTATCAAAATAGGAGCCTGCACTTCGTCAAACAGAACTTGATTTCAGAAATGTTGTGGCGGTAAGAAAAGACGTAAAGAATTAGACCTATAAAAGAATTTCTGCAAATGTTCAACTTTCCACTCACAGGTTTTACTCCAAGGATGTGGTGGTGTCGAAAAATATGACCAGGAAAAAGCAAGAGTCAGAGACCCTCATTTTGAGTTTTCCTGACTTTTTCCTGAGAGGCCTCAGTACCCTAAAGATCTTATTCTTACTTTCTAACTGCCTTCACAAAGAAATAATTCTTTCTCATCTAAATCACGCCCTAACAAAAAGTCATACCCACTTTCCATTAGTTCCTGACCCCGTTGTGGCAAACTCTCACCCAGACTGTTGTTGAATGCTCGGAGGTGAATGTTTAGATTACGTGTAAGTCATTTTCTTAGATTAAATCAAGACTGGATTCATTTCATAGTGAAAGTGCAGAGACGGCTCCATCTAAATACGGCTTTGCTATTTTTAGTTTATACCTTTCGGAGCTGCTGTCATTTGTTCATGCCATATTTACTGCAACGGGGTTGGGTTTTTTATATTTTTGGTAATCAATTTTATGAGTTAGTTTACATATTGGTGTTAACATGGAAACGTTATGCCTTGTTTTGTTCTGTTCATTTCCAGGGCCCTAACTCAGTCATGATCGTCCTTGTCATGCTGTTGAATATCGGGTTGGCCATTCTTTTTGTTCACTTTCTAACTTGATTGGAATTAGAAAAGGTAAGAACAGCCTTAATTTCTACATAAAATCACAGTATCTAACTTTGTTTTCCCATATTCAAATTTACTTTTTTTTTTTTTTTTTTTTTGTCTTAACAACTGCGTATTGTCCTTCACTTTCATTTTGGCTGTGCCTGAATGTGATTCAACATAGTTCCTTAATGATATAACTGTTCTGACCTCTCAGTGAAGTCATGACAACTAGCGGTGTCAGCCCACACTTCCCTGCCGTGGCGCCATCAGCCCTTTAAATGGCACACCCCAGTCAGACTCAGACTCAGGGAAGGAGGCTTGGAATTAGGATGGGATCGCGAAAGAGATGAAACTTGGAAAATTCAGCCCGAGGATCTGTTCATGTTCCCCTGGGAATGCTTTGTGGCTTTGGGGTCCTCTGGGAGCTGAAGCAAGCAGCCGTGTTGGAGAGCAAAACTTAATAATCATTCTTTTTTAAAATCTGCTGAAGCAGCCCCATCCGGCGAAGTTCTTGGCATTGGCTACTCCATCTGTCCTAGCAGAGTGTGACTAAACTGGAAATGTATGGAGCTGCATTTTTTTTTTTTTTTGATGGAAGTCAACAGCTGCCTTACTATTTTGCCATCGGACGTTTTTAGTAGGGAGCTGGGGAAACAAGCGACTGCCCGAGGAATGCGGTCGGAGGATTGTGTTGCTGTGGCCACGGTTCCAATACTCACTTCTATCTCCCTGGAAGAAATAGGTAGCAGCATCACTCACCAGTCTTATGCCATGACCTGCTGCTTTAACATCTCCTGGAATGTTCTGGGAGAGAACGTTTCGTTGGCTTGTGCACGACTATGTTCATTTTTGCTGTTTATTTAAATAGGATGTATAGTCCTCTACAACGTGTGGTCCTGGCTGGATGAAACACTTGTTGCACCTCAAGGAAAAGAAACAACACAATTCTAGAGATGTGTTCATTTCGATAGCAATACATCAATTGTTTTCATGTCATTTCGTCTTCCAAAACCTGTAACAGGCTGTTTAAAATTTAGCAATGTGAAGGCATTCTACCTTCCTAAGAAAAAAAATTTAATATTTTTAACATTACTGAGATGAATTATTTATGCACTTAGGAGGTGCTAAATTTTAAAAGCTGAAAGACAACAATTCTAAGAAGTATAGTCAAAATGTTGCATGGATTGCAGTAATCTGTGTTTAAAGGATTCAGTTTCATTGCTGACGTACTTTACAACCAAATAAAATCTTGTCAGTGACTATGTTAATTCCCATGAAAGTTAAGCAAGATGCTATTAATAACTGCTCTAATCTTTTTTTTTTCCTCCAACTTAAATTTTTGTTGAATACATTCAGGTAGAGCATAAAGCTTTGTTAAACCTCTGCTTCTCGATTTTATGCCTTTTCACGTTCTTCAAAGTCCTTTCGTAATTTTATTTCACATTTTGAAGGCTTTGACATTTTTATTTAAATACTTGTCTTTTGCAGTCCTTTGTTATTTCTGACATAATCTGATTTTTTTTTTGCTGTTTTATAATTTATCCTTTATTACTCAAAAGCATGCTTACTTAGAGACACGACGTGGTCTTTATAAAAATGATTATTTACAAAGAAATCAGGGGAGGAAAGGTATCTTAAATCTCTGTAAGACATTACATCGTGGAGAAGGAGCTAGCTATTCCTAAATATTTTTCACAGTCTGCATGGTTTAATCAGATTCTTGTTACCTTATTTGCTACCTTTTCAATGCAGAAGAGACAAGTCACATGTTAGCTCAGGTGTGGACTGAATGCTTTGTCGCCTGCAGGCCAGTCACCCAGCAAGGTTTCTTGCAGAAGGGCAATATGTTGAGAGTCCTGGGTGTGACCGATATGGAATAAAGAAGCAAGCAGAAAGAGAGCAAATGAAAATTACAACTTGTATATTTATTTATTTTGTACCTTTTGCTTTGACTTTTAAATTTAGGAAGTACGTTTTTAGCCAAGAAACGTTTCAGCTCCTGTGTCAGTCTCCGTACTCACTGCGCCTTCCTAACCCCATAGCTCTTGATGCTGGGAAAGTGGATTTTTTTAAAAAAATAAATAAATAAAATATTTAATCTTATTAAGTGTTTATTTAAAACGTGTAATGCTTTGGAAATAATGGGTAACAGATAACTAAAGGATATGTTTATAAAGTGAGCATGTTGGTTCCATTTATAAATATATGTATGATTTATAAGCTTTTTTAAAAACAAAGCTCAAATTGTTGGTATTTTTCTAAAATGTGCACAGCTGTATTTTACATGAAAGGCTCTTTCTAATGGGTTGTTATACTGTACTCTACATTTTGGACAGCACATGAAGTCTGCCAATGTACTTAATAAAACATGACCTTGTTTATTTAAAAGTTTCTTGCTGTGAAAAAGAACTCCCTACCTGTGAGTTCCTCTATTTATAATCCTTGAAACCAAAATGTATAATGTACAGTTTTCACAACTGTATCTGCTCTAATAAAAAAAAAGTTGGTTATTAATAAAGTGGCAGGTGTGTTTCCTTTGTGAGTAGATTATGTGGAATTTTTTTGGTGGTGGTTGTATTAAAAGAAAGATCTGCTGAAAAACCAACCACAGAAATGGGGTGCAGAATGCCCAGAGAAGCCACGTGGAAGGAGATACTCAATTTCTTTCTACGTTTCTTTCACCCTGGGCTTTTCAAATATAAGATTCATTTTGCTGCTGAGCGCCTCCATTCTTTGGATCAGGGCCTTATCCGGCGTTTTAGGTCTGCTCCTGTTTTTAAGGAAAACCCAAAGTTGGAGTAAATCCCCCTCCTGCTTGGGTACTTTTCAGTTAATTAAAGTTTTGGGATCACTGTGCCCCAAATAAATGAATATGTTGCTATGGCCCCTGTTTAGACACATTTCTGGAAGCTTAGGCACACTGTGCAGTTGCATAAACTCGCTGCCACTAGACATTCCAGCCCCTGGGCCCCCTTCAAAGCCAGCGCGCTGGCCTAGGCTGCCTCCCACCGCCAGCCACCTGTGCAGGGTCTCCTACAAGGACCACCTCCCGAACGGCTTCCCAGGGAGCTGCCGGGCTGCTTTTCAGTTCCCAAATTAGTCACTCCTGTTGACGGCTAAGGTATTGGAGACCCCTCTGTACATGAAGCATAAAGTTATCGCGTCTAAATCGCAACAGATTTATCAACTTAAATGATTAATCTCCTAGTAAATCCTGAAAGAATGGAACACAGAACGCACTGTTTTGGAGCAGCCCGGAAAAGCACAGGGTGCTACAAAGATTATTGATTCCAGTGTCCTGTCCAAACCACACGTTTTGATGGCTGAAGCCAAAGCTGGGGTGAAGACTCTGTGGTTAGGAAATCTGGAAAATATTCTACATGCCCTTTTAATGCAATAGCTATTTCGGGAGCTATGGTAAGCGGGCTCTGCAGGCATACGTTTAGTGTGACTGGCGGCCCTCCTCCCATGCTTTGGAAACTTGTGTGGCCTCATCGCTCCAACTTCATTCGTGGCTGCACACGTGGCATGCTCTGCCAGTAGAGTAACCCAACGGGTCACCAGGCCAAGTTGGATGTTCCCAGGTTTGCAAACTATGTCCAGGCGCTTCCTCCTTACCCCAAAAGTACTGAAAAGTACTTCAGTGTTCTGTACTAGCCTCTAAAGGAGTCTCAGTTACGGGAGTAGAAGGAAGTAACAAAATAGAATAAAATGACTACTGCCTAATGCAGTGGATATGGATAAAATTCTGGCCATGGTCATGCTTGATTGTGGCTTTTTCTCTAACCAGGGCCCCTACTTTCTCCTCTGTAAAATGGGCATAACCATTGCACTTAGCACACACCTCACAACATGGTTGTGAAGGAGAAATGAGCTCATTTATGTTAAGGGTGTAGTACAGTGCCTGGTACATAATAACTGTTGTGTTAGCTTTTACCAACTGAAGGAACTAGGAAAAAAATTTTAATTTCTCTAAGAGTCTCAAACACCTTAAAAAAAAAATACATTGAGGGGCGACTAGGTGGCTCAACGGGTTGACCATCGGATTTCAGCTTAGGTCATGATCTTTCTCGAGTCTGTGAGTTTAAGCCCTGCAGTGGCCTCTGTGCTGACAGCTCAGAGTCTGGAGCCTGCTTCAGATTCTGTGTCTTCCTCTCTCTCTGCCCCTCCCCTGCTCGCTTGTTTGCTCACTCACTCTTTCCTCTCTCTCTCAAAAATAAACATTAAAATTTTTTTGAAAAAAAAAAGAGATTCCACTCTAACGGTCTCTTTTTAAAGGTTAATTATGCCACAGGCCATATTATGTTCTTCCCTCAGTGCTGAACACTTAGCAGCATTCCCTCCCTGCACTAAAATGCCATTTTCTGTACAGTATGATGGGAGACACTGGCTTCACAAAACATTTTCACGTCAGTGACTCGTTAGACTCTTAGGAAAGAATTCCTGCAGTTAGTGTCCTGCCTGAGGCTACCTGCCAGAAAGTTTACAAAAATTGTGTTAGTCCCAGATCCGACTCTCAGTGCGCTTTTTCATTTCATATATTGGCTATCATTTCTCCACACTGTCATAGTCATCAGCCATTAAAAGGTAGAAAATACAAAACTGAAGGTAACAGTATGGGTTGAATGAGCCCATTTCCATTAAGTTCCTTAATGACACTTGGTTGATTTAACTATAGTAGTTTATTAAAAGTTCTGAATAATTTATATTACTACTGTTTCATGACTTTTAGTCAGGTATTTATGTTTTTGAACCTTAGAAAATATTAAACATTAACAAAAGTTTAACATTTAAATATTTTGGAGTCAGAAGCATGTTATAAATGAACACAGTGTGTGTGTGTGTGTGTGTGTGTGTGTGTGTGTGTGTGTGTTTGAACTTGATCTCAAGAATTAACCCAGATATTGCACATTGTGCCTAAAAGACTTAAAAGATTTAGATATTGTAATGGTCTTTTGATACTTGATCACAGTGTTCCATACAGTTTCTTTGGTATTCTCTTGAATTCCAAATCTGATTTAGGTCAACTGTTAGAATTAACATAAGAGTGAGGGCTTGATATTTGTTCAGCTAGTGATTAGTAAAGCACCCTCACTTACTATGATAAAGAGTATATCAATCTTTGCAGAGAATTTTGGAGAGAAGATGTAGAAGGAGAGACAGACTCAGAAGGTATTACAGTATTGATGTACAAGTCTTTTCTTACTCCCATCCTTGCCCCCAAGCAAACTGATTCATGAAATATCAAGCATTCGATGGAATTACAATATTCGCTTAAAGGAAAGCAATGAAGGTCTTTGATTTCAGGAATATAGGTCACATTCCTGCCATTGATGGCACATATTTGGAAGAAAAGAATCTGATAAATATCATGTCCCCACGCAAAGCAGAAGCGAAGTTGAAAAGAAGCCAAAGGTCATTTAAAATGCTCATGTTCTGGGCATGTTCTAACAACAGCTTCCGACCACTGGGGCCAGTACCTGGAATCATGTAGCTGCTCTGAGGTTGATAACAGCCAAGAAAATGCTCCCATAGCATTGTTGTTGAGCCAAAGGTGGTGAATCTATCATCTAAGGGCCAGACCTAGCACTTTAAAAACGTTTTACATCAGGTAATTGGGCCAAATAAAAGCAGAGGTTAGAAATATTCAAATCTGTAGAATATTTAAAGGGATAGACAGGTATCCCTTAAATCTCTTAGTGCTCCTCAGTCCACTGAAACCAAGCAAGAATTTGGGAGGTAATCTCAACACAGGAAAGTAGCAAAGAATGCAGTGTATCTGTGCCCAAAATAAGGTTTGATGCTATCTACATCTTAATTTGTTTGTCATGATGCAAGTAATGTGAGGGACTCAGCATAATTTTTCACTTCTCAGGGTCCACTTCATTTCCCAGTCTTTGTGGACTTTACAATTTGGTTTTCTTCCATTAGGATTTTTGTGCATAGAAATAGCTCCATTTTTTCTAATAAGCAGGTCTATATTTTCCTTCACAAAAGAGTATTACTAATCTAAAAGACCCTACACTATATTTTTGAGTTTCCACTGGTTGGCTTCAGCTATCAACAGTTCACCTGTATTTGTGGTGGCCTTCTAAAGACTACCTGAGTAAATTATAAAGGAACCCTGTAAACATCTTTGCGACTTATTTTTATTTCTTATTTTTTAAAAGATTTTTAAGTAATCTCTGCACCCAACGTGAGGCTTGAACTTATAACCCTGAGATCGAGAGTCACATGCTCAATAGGGGCACCTGGGTGGCTCAGTCGGCAAAGTGTCCAACTTTGGCTCAGGTGGTGATCTCGCGGTTCGGGAGTTTGAGCCCCGCATTGGGCTCTGTGTTGACAGCTCAGAGCCTGGAGCCTGCTTTGAATTCTGTGTCGCCCTCTCTCTCTGCGCATCCCCTGCTCTTACTCTGTCTGTCTCTCAAAAATAAATAAATAGTTTAAAAAAAAAAAAAAGTCACATGCTCTACCAACTAAAGCCAGCAAGGCACCCACCCCACCCTCTTTTTTTTTAAGACAAGCTTTCAGGAATTTTAAGGTGGCTTATGTGTTCAGTACACTGCCTGACCCATCGTGCCCTGCGAAACCTGGGCTCTCCACTGCACTGACCAGCAACATGCTTAGGCATACACAGTTTACTAGTGCAGTTTGACAAACATGTCAGCTTAACTGAGGATATTAATTCAAACAGAGAGCATAAAAAGGCTTCAATTCAGCCATGCCACTTTCTCAGGTGCCAATTTATGGAACCAGCCACCTTTCGATAACCTTTCGAGTTATACCCCTGTTCACTGGCTGTGCCAGCACCAAACATCACTGGCTGTGCCAGCACCAAACAACATGTCCATTTTGGTACACTGTAAGAGTTTTGGTGTCTGTAAAATGGGAATAATACCTGCCTCATAGTTTCTTCATCAGAATCAAAGCAGAGAACTTTAGTCAACTCCCCAACATGTGATAGACTCTCAACACATAGTAGGTACTATTACACTTACTAGTCTCAACTTTACCAGCAATTTTTTACTTACTCTTTCATCAAACATTTGTTATGTACTGTTAAAATAACTTTCGGGCGCCTGGGTGGCTCAGTCGTTAAGCATCTGACTTCAGCTCAGGGCGTGATTTCACAGTTGGTGAGTTCAAGTCCCACATCAGGTAAGCTCATGCCCCATCTCAGGTGAGCCCTGCTTCAGGTGAACTGGTGCCCCGACTTAGGGAAAAACTGACAGAGTGAGTCCTGCTTTTCTCCCCCCCCCCCCCACCCCCTCTGCCCCTCACTCATTTGTGCCCTCTTAAAAAAAAAAAAAAGAAAAGAAATGAAATGAAATAGAAAGAAAAGACAAAGACAAAAAGACAGACATAAAAGAAAGAAAAAGAGGGGCCCCTGGGTGGCTCAGTCGATTAAGCGTCGACTTCGGCTCAGGTCATGATCTCGCGGTTCGTGGGTTCAAGCCCCGCGTCAGGCTCTGTGCTGACAGCCGGCTCAGAGCCTGGAG